GCGCCTGAAAAGCATTAACGGAAATTAAAAAGGCATGAGTACTAAACATGGAAGGTATGCACTGAAAAGCACAGCAACAACTTTTTTTCGGATAGACCAAGAACAGAGACTGGGTGGGCTAGCTGTAGGATCCCGAATTTTTACTATCAAATTCGATACGGATAGGCAAAGTGTCCATAGAGAAGAAATAAGAAAAAGAAAATGTCAAATCATCTTCAGAAAACTTAGCGCCTAACTTACACAAACAACCGGTGATTGTTATCGCACTGAACTCTCTTAGAAATCTTGGAAAGATCCGCAAAGGTTCGTCTTAGGATTTTTATGTTTGGGTTTAACTGGAGGACTGCTAACTCAATGCTTCGCTGATCAAAGACATTGGTTTCGTGAGATGAGATAACAATAAGTACTGCCGGCTGTTTGTCAATGCTGAGAGCCAATGATTGCAAGAGCTTGCAGTATTCTCCGACAGCTTGCACAATTGCACGGCCAAATCCAGTAGCAGAAGGGCATGGTGGGAGCTAAACAAAGCATAGAGGAGGGTAGATTGCATTAAAATGCGTAAAACTACCTGGTTGTCTGAGTGATGACCGAGAACGGAAAGGGTGAGCTGATGTTGCTGTACAAGCCTTTCCATTATCCCACCAAAACTCGAGGCAATAAGATTGTACTCAACCTGTTTGAGCATAGCGCATTCTGTAAATTGGCGGGAAGCCATTTCCTGAGGTGTGGCATTATCAAGGTGGAGCATGTAGTCGGACCGACTGAGAGACAACTTAATTTTCTTTAAAGAGAACAATAGGATCAAGTCAAATATATTACTTGAACGGGTCCTAAGGTTTGCTCAACATCATAAAGACGCCAGAGTGAAGCCAGATAGGAGTCGTACGCAAGTGCACTAGACGTATGAGAAAGGATAGTGAGTTACGGTTTGAGGGTAGTAACAAGAAAATTGTGATCCGCAGCAACTTTTTGGTAAAGTATGTTAAAATCCTTTTGTAGAAGCACCGCCCGTTGGAATGATTTCGATGGGAAAGGCGATGGGAGCAGAGTATGTTGGAGACTCACTAACTCTAATTCCGGGGTATATTTTAGAATTCCTGAGGGGTAAACAGACAAGAAGGCTTATAGCATACCGTGAAGATTGGCATACTCTAGGCTACTTAAACGTAAATCCCTAAGCGCTTCATCCGAAAGACCTTTTAGGAGGGAAGGAAATCGGAGCATGTCACTGAAAGGAAAAATACAAGTGGTTAGAACACCAAATAGCTTCATTTTTAATGCTGCAATTCAAATTCTTAGAAAAGATAATTAAAGTCTGAGTAAAGAGCTAAACTTAAGGCAATGCGTACGGCAGCATAGTGTAAGCAAAACTCAAGAAGCAACAACAAAATTACCCGGTAGGTAACCCCAACCAGTATTAGTACCTGCAATCGCCATGGAATTGAACAAGATAACTAAGTGTGCCGTGGGAATTAGTTCTACCATTTCCCGTAGACCTCCACGGACGTTATTGATGGCCAGCTGATCTAAATCTCATCCAACAATCTAATTCGATCGGTAAGTTGGCAATACTTTACTTCCCTACACCCCATACACAGCTCCTTTTTCAAAGGTTTCGATTACTATCATTCTACTCATTCGCCAAAGAATTCCAGCTGTAATCACAGCAGACACGTCTCC